CTGCATGCCTTCCACCAGGTGGTACCATGTGCTCTTTTGCCTGGTGGTACTGCATGTCTTTCTATCAAATTATATTGCAAATATGAAGGGATTTTATTGCGCTGACTCTTACATTTGTGATATCCGATTCTCCCGAAAAGTGTGAATTCTATCTTTTTAAAACATTAATTTTGCATATGGAATTTATACATAAACTAATCGAAATGATGTGATTTCCTCAAGTTTATCTCAATGATCAAAAATTAACGAGGAGTGAAACTTTGGGAAATTTGAAAATATTTCATCATTATTTTTCAAATATTTCATCAGTACTTGAAAGATTGACCTCTCTGTTGAACTCCGAAGTAGTAGCGCTTTCATTAACTTGTTTATTGTTTTACTATGAGACGAAAAGCCCACTTAGTAAAAATTTACTGAATTGACTCAGAAGCGATAGTACAATGATTCAGTTCGAATCCGGAAAATTGTTTTTGTTAATATGTATCAATCTTATAAGTTAATCGATTTGCTGGTAAAATCAATTATCGGAAAATCTTCCAAAGAACTATTTGTTTTTGGATTGATATACTGATAAGAATTGTGGAGCATACGATCCTATCCGATATCAGTTCGAATGATTGTTGATAGATAAGACAAGATAAGATTCAAAATTGCCATAATGTAAAGGTATGAATTAAATTCCATGTAACTTCGTTTGGATTTATAAATAAATTTCCTAAATTGAGAAGAAAGGAAAAAGCATTTGCTGAAACAAATCCTTCTATGTGATTTTCAGTAAATATAATCAGTTCCTCAGAAGAACAATCACGTACGTGACTGAACAAACCTAATAAGCTTCCATAATTTAGATTTATTATTTTAAGTTAAGACCGGAAGACAACGGCAAAAGATTCATCAGTGCCACGTTTCACACGAAATAATCGGCTCTTTTCGGCAATTAACAAATCCGTTCCAATTTTATTACGAAAGTAAGGAATGAAGATCGAATACATACAATAAGGCATTTGAAGTGATTCTCAAGTGATTGACCTGAATCGGGATCGAAAGTGGCTAACATTCATCGTTCACATTTACGCCATATAAGATGAAAGCTTTCGACCAATCTTTCTTCTTCAGTTTAAAAAAACAGTAAAAAGGATTAAAGAGCAGCAATAATTGAGGATGGAACATTATTTGTTAAAATCTCGACTGTTCAAATATGAGATCCCATGAATGGCATGTTAAGATGTTGTTGACATCGTTTTCTATAGATAT